CCCTGAGGCTCTGTAACATTTTGGCACAGGTTTTAGTGTGTTGGGTGGAAGCCGTCAGTGGAATCACCTTTTTTTTAATAATGGCTTTTTCTACAAGAAGCGACACTCCAAACAGAGCAGGGCAGCCTAATTAAATCTGACCTAATCTGGAGCAGCAGTCTGCCATCCAGCTGTGTGTGTGTATGTGTGTGTCCATGTGAGTGTGTGAAATATACAATCAAATCTTGTCCTCGACCAACTTTCACTCTTCCAAATTCCTGCTTGTTTTGTCCTTGCTCTTTGTTTGTCTTTGAATTTAAACCTCTGCAACAGAAGTTGTATGCTGTAAACGAAAAGATTCAAGCCAAAGTCCACTTAGTCTGTCTTGTATGTGTTCAAGGTAGAGACAGAAACAGAGATCCAAGCCAAACAGATGGAGGCTGACATGAGCAGCCAGAACCCCCTTCCCCGTTCAACTACAAAGAGCCTACTGTGGGTCATCTGCTGATTGGGTGATAATTGTTAGGTCTGGAAAAAGGATGACGTCTCTGAGGGCACGCTGACATGAGCATTAACATTAAAAATCCTTGACAATGACCTGCAGCAATCAACAATGAAAAGGCAAAAAACTTAATTTCCTCACAAGATAATTTACTACAAGAGGGAAATGAAATAATCTCACAGAACGAGGTGGGGGGAAAAAAAGAGGTGAACAGACACACAAAGCAAGCAGCTTTTCTTTGTTATTTACTGAAAGTTATGACTATCAAGCACAAGCCATTTCTCTCTCGGAATCTGCTTCTTCTCCCCTCAACTCTTCTCTCTTACTTGTTCTCTCCATCTCAGTGCATGACTTGGCTGGTGCAGCCGAGGCCCGGCTCAATTGTGCAATTTCATACATGTTTACTTTACTGGCATCTTTCTGAGCATATTTTCCCCCGAACATTTCCCCTCACATTATTCTGCATTTCCTCTACAACGATATGCTGTCTTTAATCTCCCTTTGTAAGCCATTTCTTGGCTTGAGGATCAGAATAGAATAACGATGTCAGACTTTTTTATTTGGCCCGTCATCTGCTGTATTTTAACACATGCCACAAAGTTCATTTTGGAAATTGATCAGGGCTTAAAGAAAAAGAAAGTAGCTCTTCACATAAACATTTAGACAACTGTCTTCTTCAGCATGAAAAACAGCTGGAAGTAAGTGGATCATGGGAGAGGAGGGAGGCAGCGGGCGCTGTGGGTCAGCGGTTTGTGTTGAGTGTAAGAGGAGAGAAGGGACAGAGAGAGGTGAGGAGGGAAACTGTGCTTTGAGGTAACAAGGGCGGTGAACGAGTGTGGCCAAGCTCTGCACTGGAGGGAGGAAGAGGAGGAAAGCGAAGGAAGCAAAGTGCCAGAGGAAAGGCAATTGTGGGACTTCTAGGGGATCATAAGAGTAATAAAAAATCACAATACAATGATTTTTCCAGAAAAGTGCAGTTCGGGGAAATAAATCTAAAGCAGCTGCTTGTAATAAAGACTCTTGAAAGTGTCAAATCTCTCCCTTGTACTTCACCCTGCTACACTGTGGGAAAGGCGCTCAGACATGTAGATGGACAGGTGCACTGTGTGGACACATCAGAACACCTACACACACACTCACACACACAGGCATACACGTTATTGCAGAATTATCGATGCTTGTTATACTGAAGCCACATTCATATTGGTTGACTTAAGAGTCGGCTTTTGGTTTCAACACCAAAATAAGGCTTGATTATTGATATCATTCGGCCTTAGCTTACATTTAAATGAGTCCTCATAAAAAGAAATATGTACACAGGACAATAGTGGCATGTCTGCACTGTGCTCTCGTGATTAACCACATAGATAATGGCTTTCATAATAAGACAAAGTCAGAGTTGGTCAGAGGCTTAGCTCGACAATGCAACCCGTGGAAACTACAAAGATTGTCGCTGAGTTTTGTTTTGAGCATCTGCGATGTCTGGTAAGTGCTTCAGTCCTTTTGGCACACAGCGTGAAATACAATAAATGTCAAACAGCGGTATGATTGCAGATCAGGACTACTCAGAGCCCGTCAGAGTCACAGGTGACCCCGGACTGCTGCCGCTGGTAGAAAGCTTAAAGGCATACTTTGCATTTTTTTACATTAAACCTAAATCCTTTTTTGGTCTACACGGGGCCCCTGGAACTCATCCAGATCGTTTTTTATTTCTATATTGTTAGTGTTATAAAAGTTACGGGCCTGGGATGGTTGCCATAACAACATTAGAAAGGAATGAAATGGCCTAAAAAATAAAACAAAATAAAAACATCAACCCACATCTCATAGTTTGTGGTTTGTCTCACTGCACTCATTTATTTTTGCATTTATTCATTTTCGTTATATAAATTAATGTAACTAATAAATTGTTTTAAATGCCTAATTTTATTACTTTCAAAAAATCTTCATCTAAACCACTTTTGTGGTAGAAAGGGGTTTTCTGGGTTGGTCATATAAATAACATTAACAAAGGCACATGGCATAAAATCCCATGGGGTGAGTGGCTACACCAGTAAATTGAAACAAGGTTTTTGTAATTTTTCTAATTGAATCAACCACAGAGCAAAAGAAATACTGCCAGTTTTTTTAATTATGATTTACATAACAGTTTCTAGGCCCTTCATATTGATCAGCCCTGCCCCGATTTTCAACGATTTTCAAAATATAGACATATGGAGAAAATATTTTAATAAATTCCTCTGACCAAAAGGATGCCAAAGAGTTCAATCCACAACATCCTCAAATTGTAACAAAATGTCTGAATGGCTTCCTCACCCACAGCCCTTGAAAGCCCACAATGTTGTATCACAGTGACACTGAGCAGAGGTTTATTCCCAAAGAGCAAAAAGGGGAAGGAAAAGAGAAGATACAGGCTACTTGTTTTCTGAATGGAGAGTTTTAGAAGTACGAACAGGCTTTCATACTGAGACAATGGCTCGCGTCCACCCTGCTGCGTTCTCCCTGCTCCTCTCCCTCCCCATTCTCCGTCTCTCTATCTGCCTCTGAGCAGAAACACACGGCACATCCTGCTCAACACAACACACCAGCCAAAAGTTCACTTCCTGCTCCTCAGCTCTTCTCCTTCACACCAAACCTATTCCCAGGACATGCATTAACAGCCCTTCATATGCTCAAATAGCAAAGGGACATACAAACAGACAAGCAAACGCTTCCCCTCTCTATAGATACACAACCCTACCCCTCTCTGTCTGTCATACGTATTAATGCAATTAAGCAAATTCTAAACAGTGCACATCCTACAGAAATGTTCAGGCATTATCTTGCTCTTCCCCTTGCACAGATTTGGAGTGACAGTGGAAACACTTTGTGTTATTTTAATGGTGTAAGGCAGGGAAGAGGAGGAGATAGATTTTCATTTAAACTAGTGAATGAGAGGGAGTGAGGGGACTGAAATTCCCACGACTGACATCCGCCTGTTCCTACATTTCTAACACGTATGCACATTTGTGGACCAAGTTCTTACTGTTAATAATGTTTCATTTAAGCATTTCTTTGTGTTTTTGTTACAGAGCTGAACAAGAGTCGCATAACTTGAAGCATCATCCAAAACAAGCTGGCTTCCTGTGTGTCGAAAGTTCACTAACCTCTGGAGAAAAGGGGTCAAACTGTATGAGACTGGTTTTACATACGCACCCAGCAAAGCCACTGCTTGTCTGTTTAGGGAAGTACTGATAATACATTACTTACTAGACTTTACTGCGTGTGTGGCTGAAACCAAAGCCTCCTAAATGTGCTTACTAAAGTGTGGTTCAGAAATTCACAAACAGCCAGTTAAGATACTACCAAAATGACTTTACCTTATGTTATAACAATGAAATTGGTCAGACCGACACAAGCCTCTTTGAGGACAACACAATAGAAAATGTATACCGCATAGTAAAAATAAAAACAAAAAAATGTTAATATCACATGTTATCTCTCCACCATAAAAGTGTAACAAGAAATGTATAAACACAGAAATAACCACAGGTTTAACACAGGACAACTGCCCTGTTAATAGGAAAATAAAAAAAAAGTGTGTGTGAGTGTGTGCATGTGTGTTTGTGTGGGTGTGTGTTGACATTGTTATTCGAAGGTTTAGTAAAAGCTTAGCGTCCCCATGCTGGGTTCAGTCCTGAGGTAAGCACCAGTTTCACGTGCACTGCTTTCAGTTAAAATCAAAATAAAGAAAAGTAAGTGACAGAAAACAACATGTTTGATATGATCATATGCTACAGAGAAGAAGCCCTTAAATTATTGTTACATTTAAAAAAACAATCCCAAGAGTCAGGCACATTGTTTCTGTTTTTTTAAGCCTTTAAGATTCACTACGTCTATCACAGTGTATTTATGGCTTTAGTCTTCACATTCACCCACTGAGGTTGGCATTGGCACTATAGTGGTCAGACATTTCTAATCTGAATCAAGGACCAGTAAAAGTGGAAAAAGAAAAAAAAAGAAAAGGCCAGCATGTTCTTTGCAATAAACATTGAAAGACAAAAATGTGCCGTCTACCCGCAACCTTTAAGTGCTCTTTTGTTTTCAAACTGGAGGAACTGCTGGTCAGCCAACAGAGAAATATGTCATTCTTTGTTTCCGCATTCGATACCAGCCATGATAGGAGGCGAGGCCGGGAGACATTTGCTAGGCTCGGATATGATGTTAATAAGTGGATCAGAGGGGTAAGATGGCAGGCATGAAATGGGACATCATGCCGGCGAGCAGTGCGAATTGTCCAGGAGAAAGTGAGATTTCACAGGGATTACTGAGGCACAGCAGCTGGGGTGTGCTGTTCACCCGCTGGCTTCCAGGGAAGACCCACAAACCCCTTCTTATGTTCATATCACGGACAGATTAGCAGCTCGCTATGTGTGTGTGTGTGTG